TTACAAAATGAAATAAAGAATAAAATAAAACGCTGAAGAAATCCAATTAATAGTAAATCCATTAATAACTTCCAAATGGTTACAACTCGGGAATCCCGTAACTCAAGGACCCCTTAACCAAAAGTTACTATGTAGACTTTCAACCAATTAAGTACTAATATCAACTGAAACAAAATTAATATCCTACTTTTAAGTAAATAGAAGGAATGGATAAGTCCTCCAGCTGCGGATCCTCAACCTTGAGACTTGACCTTCTACAACCTGAAAAATAAATCGCGGGTTAAACCCTACGAGCAAGTTCTCTCTACCAAGCCTCTGAAAACCAATAAACAGATCATCTTTACCAAAACCATCCCTAATTAAGCTTAACAGGGCATTAAATTGTCAAAACCACTCACCAATAATTAATTATTAGTCATACCTAGACCAAGCCCCCCCTTTTATAATTTTCTCATAAAGTAAACCCCACTCACCTTAACTCCATCCTAAACAGTAATTTAGTCATCTACACATATAGCAATTTAAATATGCACCGGCAAATCAACCATACCATTTATAAATATATTTATTTATATACTAGCAATTCAACCATGCTTCCTTCAATATATTTACTTTTACAATTAATTAGCAATTCAACCATGCTTCCCATATATGAAATTTATCCATAACCAATAAGACAGTATATCAAAGCCTTTGGCAACTCATCCATGCCTACAATTCAACCATGTATTAATTTTAAACTTAACTCTAGGTATAATTATACTAGACTTCACATGCATATAATAAGCATGTCCTTAATTTAATAACCGTGTATCTATTACGATTTTAAATCAACCATACCATACACGAATCAAGTCATACCAAACAAGATTTATAATATTTAATAATCTTAAATAATATATATATACACATATATTTTGTAATATATATATATGTGTGTATCATACATTCCATACCAATCGTTGACTATTTAAAATCATATCTACATATATATACACATATATACACCTCCTTTCATTGCAAAAATATTTAATTAATTATATTTATACCACTAAATGCTACTAGGTATCTTAGTAACACTCTGAGGCTCTCAAAATATCAAGAACACACCCTCTAATGATTAATTTTAACCCTAACAAGCTTAAGATAAATACTGGAACTTCACCGGAGTCTCAAGCAACTTTCCAGGACCTCACACGCATCCCCACGCACCTTCACGCGCCGCCACATAGCCCTAGACTACTCCCACGCGCCTCCACGCGCTTCCCCTTACCGGCAGGCGCGTCCACGTGCCTGCACGCGCCCTCACGCGCCTGTTACACTCTCAGCACGTGTGTGGCTTGTCCCTATTGGTTGCCCTTCTGCGTTCTGGTGCACTTGCTCGCACCAGATCATTTTTAGTTGGCTGGACCATATCTATGGTCCAGATGCTAACGTGTACCAGCCCATCATGTGCCGCGAAGCACTGAATCAACCGCCCTTCCATCAACTCTTCTCAGCCACTGGATTAGTTTTCACACAACCTTATAATATGCCGTACACACTGGATTCATCTTCCTTAGATCGAGCAGCATCCATGGTGCTGATCTGCGGCTCACCATACTACCATGGACCGCAACACACTGGATTTTACGCCTTTGATGATGCACCGATTTGCAAATCCAACCCCAGTATGTTGTTTATACTACAAATATTTATATATATATAACAGTATATAATAAAACAATTTCTAAAATAACATTCAAAATATAAATTAATTCTAGAAAATTTCCAGAAAATCCTAAAAAAATCCCAAAAGCTTTATTTATTATTTTGGGCATAATTAAACATATATAATTAAATTAAGATCTATTTAATTTAATTCATCATACCACACAAGGTTAAAGCAATCTATAAAAAATTTCAGAAATAAAATTTAATTAACCTAACCCCACATACAATATTTAAATATTCAGAACAATTCATACATATATTCACATGCTTAAATTTATAATTTTGTAAAGAATAAACATGCTGATCTACACTGATTAACAATTTGATTTAATAAGTTAAAATTAAAATTTCGATAATTAAGGTGATAAGCTTATGAGTTCTAAGAGGAGAAGTAGAGAAGAACTCGCCTTTTCCTTTCCAAATCCGGTCTCCTCTTACGTTCTTTGATCCGGCCTCCTCTTCGTTAGCCCTTCTTCTTCTCTCTCTAATTCTCTTATTTTTCTAACGTGGAAAAACTCCTAACCCTAGAGTCTTATGTGTCTATTTATATACATACAAAAACTAAATCCTTTTCCCATTAGGATTATCATATAAAATAAATAATATTTATCTTTTAAATAATATATATACATACATATATTTTACTATAAACATATATATATTACCTTCCATATATAACCATTAGTTAAATAAATTATATATACCTATATATATCAATATATAATTATATTGACATATATACCCCTCCACATGATTTAATAATGAATTAATATACACATGTAATTATATAGGTATAATTATGCAAAGATAATTATTAAATATCCTCACAACCACGGGCCTTTACCAATTAACCCAACAAGGCTTCCTTCAAGCCCAATACCACATCCGTTGGTCCAACTTCCTTTAATCCCAATACAAATAACTTAAATACCTAAAATAATGAAATTAAATTTAATAGCTACCAATAATTAACAATAAAGGTACACCAACACAAAATCACGCAAATCAAATAAACACTTCACTAACTAGCATTCCACAAATCAAACACCGTATAAATTTAACAAATAAAATTACAAGATATATAATTTAATCAAAATAATACAATTTACCTACGCACTTAATTAAATAAAACAAATTCACAACTATCAAGCACCTAATTAACTAAAACAAATCACTTAAAAATAATAATCATAATATAATATAAATTAATTTAATTAAGAAATCCTTTTTACAATATCGGGTATTACAAATGCTCAATTGCATTTACTCCAAATTCACTGCAAATGTGTTTTTCTATTCCTTCATTTAAGGGCCCAACATATTTATCTTTTATATATGTCAAAAGCATCATCACTAATAACGCTAGTGGACGTACTAACTGTCTTCTAACTGCTGGGAATAACTATCCCAACTTGAATTCGGAATTTGCTCAATTTCAAGCTTCCTCGTGGGGTCAGTTTTCATGTCTTCTTGCAGCTTCACTTAAAGTTGTAGTGAGAAGCAATTTTTTGCTTCATCTTTTAGACATCAATTTTGATAGTTAACTCGGATTGACAGAGCTAGAATCAGTATAATTTGGTTTTGACTTGTACATGGTTTATTTATAGTCCCTCACCACTGTTTACCGATGTGTTTGTTGATGGGGAACTTTATACCGCAAAAAATTCCTTTACTACAATGCATATCAAATCCTTATATGAATTGATGGACTCGATCTACCCAATCAATGGCCTTTGAATTTTTCTGCAAGATCTGCAACATTAAAAATTAGTCGATTTTGTTATATATATATATATATATATATATATCTTTTGTTACCTTATTGTTACCATCTTTGCTCTTCTCTTCCTTTTTAACAAGTGATCATCCTCTTGTTTAATTAAGCTATAGCCGTTGAAATGTTTTGTAGAACTTGTAAATATTTGCTCTCCTCTTTCTTTTTAGCAAATCAAATGTATGGTTGTAAATATTATGTACATGGTGGGCCTAAAGGCCAAAAAGGTACAAACCCAAAAACGAGACAGATAAATCAAAACCCAATACACCTTTCACTCCTGTTCTGTGCAAAGAACTGGCGATATAGTTGAATTCAATTGGAGAGCATGATAATATCTTTCACATCACACCGGCAACTCACATAGTTCTAAAACATTTCTGCATTTACAAAATCAAGTTAGTTTGGCTTGCACGTCAATCCCAACGGTTAGTTGGCTTGTTTTGGGCGCCAGAATTTTTGGTGACTGCTTTTTGGGCTTGGCCTTAGGTTAGTTTTGTAATTCCTATAGCTTGGGCTTGTTTGGTCCTTATACTCTTTGGACCCAACTAAAACTGTACATACATACTTCATTTGTGCTAAAGATCAAGCACTCATCTAATACTATAGCAGTCTTCATTTGTGCTAAATTACATATGAATGTAATATATTGGTCAAGTGACATTTACAAGAAGGATCATTTATAATTTTAAATACTTACATTAAAACTCTCTTCTTCAATTTAATCCCCCACTCCCTTCCCTTACTAAGCTCTGGGGTTTTAGCATTTTTCTAATCATAATACTACAAATTCAATTCATAAATTTGAGACAAATATTTTATGTCGAGACAAAGAGAAAATAAACTGAGTCATGCTCTTCAACAACTCAACACAATGGAAAATATATCAAAGATAGTAATAGAGGAAGGGATTACAGTCAGAAGCAAAAATTTGAAGAAAACTCTCACATTTATTTACCCGTTTGACATGCGTTTTGTTTTTACTGTTTTTATTTTTTAGTTGCTATAATGTCAATTTTGGCAACAAAAACATTTTTGATGCAACCTTATTTTATTTTACATAGTACTAAAACACTTCATGAATAGTAACCAAAAACCAAAATACCAAAAAATTATTTTTTCTTATTTTAACAATTGTTCTGCCCCAAAACCATAACAGTAACACAACACGACTCGATATTTTCACAATAAAATATCGTTTCCACGTGTGTTTTCAACTTTTTTTAAAACACTTAGACAACCAAAACACTGTTTCTATTTTATTTTAACCGAAAACAAAGCCGGGCCCACATTTCAATTTTAAACGTAACATTATCATGACGTAATCAATGTGCTTCTCAGGATTACACCAAATTGGATAAGTTAGGCGCTTCACTTACGTGGAATTTAGTAAATTACCACCCAATAATTCCAATTTTTAATCAATTCAACCACGTCAGTACTCAACGCCACCGTTGAATAATTAATAAAAATTAAAGAAGAGTAACGAACTAGCTGGTTAATCCAAGTGGGAAGGGAAAATTCATAATGTGGAATGAGTATTGGTAATGTAGTTTTTAGTTGATTTGTACGGATCACCAGTTACAGCAAAATGGAGGGAATCTTTTTTCAGTTTTGACTTTTGATTGGATTTGGTCCCCAAATCCACAGAGAGATGAGATGAGATCTACTACTACTTCCCAATAGTATGTATGTTGAATTATCCAATATCCATCTCCATCCTCCTCTTCGGATCGATTTGGTTGAGCCAATAGTAAGTAATTATTATCCAATTTTCAATCTAAAGCTTCAATTTTGCACAATTATGATTATCCTAGTTACAAACCATTTCCTTCAATGCAATATCAATTTTCTAATCTGAAGAGTGAAGATTGTAAATTTATTTAGATTGTTGAGATCGATCGATCGATCTCCTCCCTACATAAATATAATAATAGATAGATAGAGTGTGTATTCTTTCTGTAATGGGTGCGAATCAGTCCGCACAAGTAGTCCAAGAAGAAGATGATGATGATGATGCTGATGAAAATGTCGAGACAAGAGAATTGAATGATGATAACAGTTTGGTGAAGAAGGTTCTTGAACAAGAGCCGGAGATGTTAACCTACCACGCCTCAGCATCGCCACTCTCCCCTCAGCTCTCCTCATTCGGCACCCCCAGACTTGGGCCCTCCTCCTCCATCAAGGTCTGGGACCCTTACAATGTTCTGGCTCCCCCACCACCACCTCAATTCGTTGATCGGACGGTTACGGAGGTGTTCTTGATCAGTCACGGGGAATGTCACATCAATCTAAGGCCGGATTTGGTTGGCGGTCTGTGCCCCGAAGCTACCCTCACGCCAATCGGGAATAGACAAGCTAGGGCTTTGGCCGTCTTCCTTAAATCGCAGGGGGTTCGCTTTCATGCTGTCTATACCTCGCCTTTGGATCGGGCGCGAGCAACCGCAGTTTCAGTCTGTCAGGTAGTTAACGCCATCTATATATATATATATTGCTACTATTATCATTGTTACTACTCAACTCCTCTACTAATTATTGTTTGCTTTTCACCTACTTTTTAAATTTAATTTGAAATAGATAGAGCTACTTATAAACATGGGATTTCCATTTAAGGGAATTTAACAAGCACACTGATCAGCACTTAGGTCACTCAAGCAAAAACAATCACATACAACCACAACACCTATGCTACTTACACAAGCAGTTGAAACTTGAAACACGCAATGCCACACAGTCATGCTATGCACTCTTGGTCCCATGTCTTGCACATATGGGAAACCCATGGCCCCTCTATATAATACAATTTGAACTGTGAAGGAAGTAATCCAGCAATATGGTTCCATTGAGTAAAAAGGAGCCACCAATTTAGAGAGAGAACATTTTAGAAGAGAGAAATATAGTTGCTTCTCAGCACTAACTCAACACCGAATCTTATGCTAAGTTGCTTTGAAGTTCTACCAACACATTCGCATCCAAAGACTCTGAGATGACCAGCTGTTAATAGATGTTCCACAATTTGTGGAACTGGGAACTAATCCTAGTGTGATTGATTCAACCACTCAATCTTTTCACTATTTTCTTCATGCATTCTTGCCATAATCGACTTTAGCTGTTTAGCATGTAGAATGATTTGACTAATATATCCGAGCTATTGATACTCTCTCAAGTCACACCGTCTGCTCTCAAGTGACTGGACAAATTAATTGATGTCGAATCTTCTGACATGTAATTTCAGTCTGTAGACACTACATTTTTTGCCAAATTTAATTGTGATCCTCTCATAATTTTTAAAATTTGTTAAGTACTGTTTGCTTTTCTTTGAGAAGCTGTACCCAAATCTACATCGAGAAGTTGTTGATAAAGGTCACCATATGGCAGATTTTGCTAATTGATGTTTGCTTTAACCGATCAAACACTCCAATTGGACAAACTCCAAGGGCACTTTGCTCTCTATACTAGTTGATGTTTTATACCATACATCTGTTTTCTACTAGTTGGACACAGGCATCATTTGTTCTTGAGAACAGCACAGCATAAGTTTCCCTTATGGCTTTAGGGGTGTCAGCATTCTTAATATGGTCAAGTAACTTCTCTGTCAACAGTTATGTTGAACTTGAGCATGTAGATGGCCTTCCTGGATCTGATAAACTGGTTTCATAGTGTCTTGGCATCCTTAGCAAGAGGTGGTGCAGTCTGCCCACTGCCAACTCCTCACCGTTTTGTTATCAGAAGTGAGAGTTGATGCAAATGTGCCAGTGCTTGTAGATGCTAGTGCATTATTGCTTGTACTTGCTACATTCTTCATGCTGCTTGCTGTGCTGACTCCACCAAAGATTGGCCCCATAGAGCGTGCCTCAAATATGGTTACAGACTGCCTGGCTAGCTTGTCAAATGAGGTCCCTTTCTGTCTAGTTCTGTTACCAAATTGTTCAGTTAGAGTTTTTGGACTCAAATTTGAAACGAAAATTCTTTTTATTACAAAAGACTACTACAAAGCAAATGTACACCGCAAAGCACTCGCAAATGACAGAAGTGTACCAGACACAGCCTAAAAAGCTTCACAATCACACTTGGTCTTGGGCTACACTAAGAACTCAGTCCGTGTCTTGCATCTAAGGAACATTCATGGCCTCTGTCTGTGTGCTGTTTGGAGGGCAGTTGATACCGGTGACTAAACTCTAAGCCTCAAATTTGAGGTGGTTACGAAGGTGTAAAAATGAGCAGCGATGGAAGAGAGATAGAAAGATGGTGCTTTTGTTATCAATTAATAACTGGATATTGTCTATTCATCATCATAGTCGGCTAAAACATCATTTCTGTAAATCATTCATGATGGCTGGCCAGACATAAGTGATCATCTGGTAGATTCAGTTCTGCATAAGGCATCTGTGTTCGGTTTCAGTTGAAGTATTGGTCTGCATGATCAAGCCCTAAAACCATTTTTTTTTTATTAAACTCGTGTTTAAGGGTCGTGCATGCCCTAACTATCCAGAACTGCTGTTGCAAAGACAAATTTTGGCTTGTGAGCTCATCATTTAAGGTAGACTTTCAAGCTACCATGTCTTTCTTTGGTATTAGGCTACCGAGTCAAATTGAATTCCCGATGAACAATGTTGACTTTAGTACAGCCTTGTTAAATTGTTTTAGAGGCCATTGCAGATACTTTAGACTGCAGTTAGTGATTCTTTTCCCCTAAATAAACCCCTAAGCAACTGGAGAAGCACTTTGATGAACATATTTGATCTGACTAGCTCAACTAAAGTATTAGTGTTTGTTCTTTTAGACAACAAAATATGGCCCGAGATATCTTCTTTCTTTTTCATTTAGGGTTTCTTTATTTTTTCAGGAGTCTTCTTATTACAAGTTAGAGCTTACTCCCCCCTAAACCCTTGAGGTTCGATATTGAAATAATTTCGGAGGTTTTCTGTAACTTTGTCTGGGTCAACAAACAATTCGATATAATTCGACTGAACAACGTGAAAAACTATTTTCACTCTTTTTCGGTACCCCAAGTTTATGTATTTTTAACAATTTGCTTTTACTTCTAGTAGTTGAGCAAAGCACCTTCTAATATTCCATGTATAGATCAGTTCATATTTGGTCAAGCCGCAAATTTCTCCTGATATTGCTTTCTAAAATTAATGTTTTTGTTTTGTTATAAACTGTTGTTTGCCACTGATGTATTCTGATACCGCTTTTCTAAATTGGTGTTCCTCTCATTGTTAAATGTTATTTGACATACATTGAACTTTTAAATCTAGAATTGAACTTTTGGCACATGGTAAGATAAATCAAGAATCAGCAAGCTGATGTATGATACTATGTCACCTGTTGACTTTTCTAATAATTGAAAAACTGAAAACAGAAGACTAGTTAGTAAGTATAGGTCGATCGTCATTAGAGTCAAAATGCCAATTGATGTTCTTCTCCATCTTCGTTAGATGTCCCTAAAAATATTGTCATTTCATATGAAACGGTATGTGCTTGTAAGGGATGACATGATCTGCTATGTTGTACTCACACGGTCACTGCACATTTTGAAGCTGCAATACAAAATTATCAAAGATGCAATACAAAATAATACATTCATCAAATTTTTGATAATTTGGAGAGAAACATGGAAGTAGGAGGAGGTTGCATTAGGTAGCTTGGTAGTCTGTGTTAAACCTTTGTCAGGACCAATATGAACAGTGTAGGGACGTGGGAAGGATAAGAACGGTTGTTTTATGTGTTCTCGCATAATCATGATCACCCTCTCTTCCACCACTCACAGAAAAAAAAAAAAAAAAATGTTGAGAGCACCCTAAAAAAGCTATTTGCTTTTACCTTTGTAATAAAAATTGTTTACTAAAAATTATTATATAAGCCTTGATAACGTATTTTGTACAACTATATTATTTTCATACTGTAAAATAAATCTCAACCTTCACGCTGCGTTCAACTCATGTCCAAGAGTATGCAAGATGAGTTGGCCAAAAACCTAGTGTTAGATATGTCGACTGTTAATTAAAGACACATTTAAGATGTTTCTAATAGTTGCCATGAAGGTGGAAGTATTTGAGAAATATTGACTGTAACGACTCAAAACTAATACTTTTTAAACAAAAAAAAATCGGCATGACCTCCCCTAAAAATAGGCCTATCACAACCTGTTTAATTGCATTTTTAACCTGTCATGGCTCAAATTCCGAATTCACGGCAACAAAAGATAATGATACAACCAACTAATCTAGACAATGCTTCAAACTAGGATTATCCATTCATTCATCAACAAGTTGCATACTATCAAATCCCCATCCAAAACATCATCAATACTTTAGTTATATTACATGACAAAGTTCCACAAAATAATTATACATTTTGCACTTCTAGTGTTTTACAAAATAATGGGGAATATACAAAGATACAAAAGTGAACTTCTAACGCCGTTCAAGCTTGAGGTGGGTTGTCATCCACCAGTTCCTTTCCAAGACCTGAAAAAAATATATATAGATATAGGGGTGAGCATATAGCTCAGCAGGTGACACTTAAGACACAATTCTTGTGTCCTAGTGAATCCAAATAAAGCATAGGCCAATGGGAGATTGGGGACATGCATTGAAGGGGAAAAATAATTACAAGTACAAGTCAAATTCAATCACACACAAATGCAAATGGAGTGAGATGCAATGCATGCTAAAGTCACTCCCCGTTTTCATTCTCAAAACCATCACGTTCAAAGTTAATGTAACCCCCATTGGTAACCCCGCCGCGACGAGAGGAGGATTGGCTACTGTCCCTAGGCCCTTGGTGACCCCGTGGCGCCGTCGAGGGGCCCGAATAGCTCAACCACGCTAGGGTACTCTCCCTAGTCCTCCCTAGGCTACATTAACCTCCGGCCTGTTGGTAACCCCGCAGTGACCGTGTTTGTCAAAACCAATTTTTTTCCAAAACATTCATTCCCAAATCCCCATTTTCATTTCAAGACAACCACTTCCTTTTTTCATGCAACCCAATGAGATGTTGGCTCATGTCATGATCTCAATATAATGACAAATGGGAACTTAGCACAATAATAAATAAGCATGTTAGTAACGTCAAAAAAAAAATGTAAACAACCATCACATAAACATACTTTTCATTCAACCATGTTATACACATTTACATAACTAGCATGTTGTCAATTAAATCATTTTAATCAAAATCAACAACAATTTAACATGCTATAACACACATAGAGGAGCATGATTCATTATAGAGCAAGATTCCATGGCTTAAGATGTCCCTACCTCAAAATCCAAGCCGAAATCCCTAGAATAGGTCCTCCAAATTCGAGCTCCAAGGAAGACTCAAATCTGGAAATTGATAGTATGGATGCGTAGAGCTCGCTACAAGCTTCGTTTCGCCTCAAACGGTACCTCAATCCGACAAAAGATGAAGGAGCAATCAACAATGGAAGTTGAAGTGAAAAGAAAAGAAAAAA